CCAGAAGGGGTGTGTGGACAGTGACCTGTGCTCGCACACAGGCTTCTTGGTGGCGGCAGCAGCAGCCTTAGCGTCTCATGCCTGTTTCTGGGGTCCGCGCTTTTAGCTGCGGCTCGCGCCTGTCTCTGGAGCTCCTTTAAGCAGCGCTCTTCATCCCCTCCCCTCGCACACCAGGAAACAAAGAGGTAAGAAAAAGTCTCTTGCCTCTTCGGCGGGTCCAGACTTTTCCCCGGACTCCCTCCCGGCTAGCCGTGGCGCACTAACCCCCTGCAGACTGTGTTCACGCCGCCAACCCCAGTCCTCTCCCGGCGCTCCGACCGAAGCCGGAGCCACAGCTCCCAGCCCCACCCACCCCGGCGGGTGAGCAGACAAGCCTCTCGGGCTGGTGAGTGCAGGTTTGCACCGATCCTCTGTGCGGGAATCTCCCCGCTTTGCCCTCCGCACCCCTGTGGCTGTGCTCTCCTCCGCGGCCCCGACGCTTCCCCTCTCCACCACGCGCAGTCTCCGCCCGCGAAGGGGCTTCCTAGTGTGTGGAAAACTTTCCTCCTTCACAGCTCCCTCCCACTGGTGCGGGTCCCATCCCTATTCTTTTGTCTCTGTTTATTCTTTTTTCTTTTGCCCTACCCAGATACGTGGGGGGGGTTTCTTGCCTTTTGGGAGGTCTGAGGTCTTCTGCCAGCGTTCAGTAGGTGTTCTGTAGGAGTTGTTCCACGTGTAGATGTATTTCTGGTGTATCTGTGGGGAGGAAGGTGATCTCCGCGTCTTACTCCTCCTCCATCTTGAAGGTCTCTTTACCTTTCATTTTTAACATGGTAGTTGCTGCCTAAAAGTCATAGAGATGTTTTACTGATTTTCAGGGGAGCTGGGTAGGGAGGATTTATTTTCAAATATTGTTGAAGTATAAGAACCAAGGACTTTCTTTTATCATCTAGCTATAATAAGACTCTGTTTGAAATCTAGTACTTCTCATACTGATTGCCTTTACTAGACTGATGATTTATGACAGCAGGAGCTCCTGAAGCACAGGCTTAACTTATTACTGCTCTCGGAGAAACACTTCCACGTGTGGACTCAGGAGCTCTGCACTAGGAGGAAAATAGGCTAATCTGATCATAAACTATGGAGCAGTCCTAAAACTGTGTAAACACTGACAGAGGTATTTCTCAAAGTCTGCCAGATACGAGGCAGCATTTTCGTGAAGTATGTGAACATTCATTCAAATTCAAAACCTTCATTCAGCCTGAGGAATTTGTCCTGAGCAGATGTATGTCTCATCCTTTGCAGGCCAGCGCCCAGAGTAATATTCTGCAAAATTAAATATTTTGGCTAATGGTGTTGTTCCTTAGCTATTGAAAATATATTTTCTAATAAAGGAAAATGTCAAGTCATGTCGAGTAACATTTTATGCCACTGAGCCATTAAACTCTTGAGTTGTATAATAAAACTCCCAAACTCCTTCACCATAACTTGCATTATTCTGCATTAACCATCATACTGTACAAGTGCTGAGAGCTACCCTTTGTCTTTTACTTACAGATAAAATAGAGTATTTATTGTATCGGCTCTTAACATTTTGTTTCAGATTTTGCCTTGGCAGTATTCAGTTTATTTTTAACCATCTTTCAGGAAGAAACTATCAAACAGCATTGTGATGTGAGGGCAGTATAAGAAGGAGAAGCACAGTTATATTTTTATCACAGAAAAGTATTGTAAATAACTTCACACTCATGAGTCAGAGATGTCCTCAATGAAGAGCTTGCAGTTGTGGAAGTATGAAATGTCTGTAATGCCCACAAAGATATCCATTTTGAACAACAGTGAGAGAAAGTAGGCTAATGAAGGATTATAGAAAAAATTATAGCCAATAACACTTATTTTGCACTGACTACATGCCAGGCCCTGTGTTAGTACTCTTCTGACTTGAAAATATCTCATCTTCCTAACAATCCTCTGAGATAAGTGCCATTATTATTTCCAGTTTACAGTTGCGAGCTCTGAGGCACAGATAAATTTAAGTAATCAAGAGTTATGGAAAAAAATTGTGGGGTAGGGCTTCCCTGGTGGCGCGGTGGTTGGGAGTCCGCCTGACGATGCAGGGGACACGGGTTTGTGCCCCGGTCCGGGAAGATCCCACATGCCGCGGAGAGGCTGGGCCCGTGAGCCATGGCCGCTGAGCCTGCGCGTCCGGAGCCTGTGCCCCGCAGCGGGAGAGGCCACAACAGTGAGAAGCCCACGTACCACAAAAAAAAAAAAATTGTGGGGTAAGAAGAACAGGTTTTGTTTTGCGATCACAGCATTCTTGTGTCTTGAGATGCTCCATTGGCTTTATTAGAAAGCACGTGTGAAGAAATTTTTTAAATGATTGCTATCCATTGGATATTCTTCCTTTTCAAGTGAATGAGGTTGGCTTGCAAAGTTTGCTGAAGTCCTCTAGGACAGGAATTTTCAAACTTTGTTCCTTGGTCCCCTGAGGGTCCTTGAGATCCTTTTATGGTGTCTGCCGGGTCAAAATTCTTTCCATAACAATACTAAGATTATTATTTGCAATTTTCACTGTGTTACATTTGCACTGATAGGGCAAACACAATGGTGAGTAAAACTGTTGGTCCCTTAGCACAAATCAAAGCAGTGGCTCCAAAGGGTACTAGTGGTCATTGTATTCATCACCACCAAATAGTCACAATAAATAAATAAAATTTTAAAAAGTAGCTTCACTTAAATTGTCTTTGCTGAAGCAGCAGAAATTAGTAAACCTATTGGCTTGGCCCTTGAGTACACATGTTTTTAATATTCTATGGGAAGTACATGTAAATCAGGTCTGTTACATATCAAAGTACGGTGGTTATTTCCAGGGACAGTACTTGTGCAATTATTTAGGTTGTGGGCTGACCTAGCTACTTTTCCATGGAACACTATTTTTATATGAAAGAATGCTTGGTAGACAAATCATGGTTATTCAGACTTGGTTACACATTTTCTCAAAAATGAACAAAGTGTGCCTGTCTCTTCAAGGAAAATCACCGACATTACTTGTCATCAATGATGAAATGCAAGTTTTAAATCAAAACCCAGAATTTTGGAAAACATATCCACCACAGTGAACTGAAATCTTCCTAAGACTTTAAGACTTTTCTATGAAACTGTGATCTCATTGATGCATCTGATTTTTAGATATTGTATAATAATGACTGTAAATGACCAATGCTTGATTTTATGAAATCATACATGAGTAAAAGCCATTCAAAATACAAGATAGATCAATGGATTTTAGTGCAACAGAATATGAAAAGTTTATTGATAATATTTCAGATTCTACATTGCAAGTAATCTTTAAGAAATTACTACTAGCTGAGTTTGAGTAGAATAGTAGGAGAATATCCATAATTCTTTGAAAAGGCTATTAGGATACTTTTGCCTTTTAAATCTACATATCTGTATGAGGCTGGATTTTCTTATACTTATGAAGTATCAGCTCAGATAACATTCCAGGAGAGTGAACATAGATGTAAATATGAGAATCCAGTTTTCTTCTGTGAATCCAGATGTTAGAGATTTGCAAAAATGTGAAACAACGCCACTCTTCTTACTAAATTTTTTGTTTTGAAGCAGTTATTTTAATCAAAATGTTTAATTTTCGATTGATACATTAAATATCAATAAATATAATGCACATAACAAAATATCTTTAGGGTCTCCTTAAATTGCGAGGGTGTAAGGGAGTCCAGAACCAAACATCTGCAAACCTCTGCTCTTGGGGAAACAAAGCCCCACAAGACAGAGGAGTTTATCTGCCCCCAGAGACTGTTAGAGGGAAGACATCCGTGTGGGATGTCAATGAAATGAAGGTAATAACATGGCACAACAGGGCGGATCAGGGCCAGCCAGCAAAATGGATGAGATTGTCTACGTTTTACTTTAGTTTAGTAAGGAAACTTTTCCTAAAGTGATTTTTAAATCAATAGTACTAGCTTGTTCTCTCCCTAAAGACATTTTGTTTTTATAAAATTACAGCCTGGAAAACACACTATGTGTTTAGTCTGAGTAGGTAGCCTGAGTTGTTTGTTAAATACCAGATCTCAGATTTGTGGCTATTCCTCAAAAATAACTACATGACACCGGCAATTAAATTTATGTATCATTTTGATTATTTATACTTCAGTGAATCAAAGGAGGTAAATAATGGGCTGCAGCCTAGCACTTCCATCAGCATCTCACCGGCAAGCCCTTTAGATTCCCTGCATGATGAAGCTGGATACAACACATAATCTTCCCATTAAACAGTCTGGAGGGAACCATCATCCATGCCGCCTTCCACCCTGGCGTCCTCCCATTTCTGGAGTTGGGCGTTCCTGCGTTGCAAACATGCCCTTTGAACCGTGTGGGGCAGGCATGTTTAGTCTCAGCTATTTTCACATTCCTCCTTCCTTTTACTTAGGACACTGTTGGTCATTCAGAATGAGAGTTTCTTCTTGTTCTGCTTCTCAGAGCACCCCAGTATTGGACCCATGTAATAGTGCACTGCACTGGGCAGACAGCCGACGGCCGCTCTAGGAGAGTATGCTGATTAGCTGGGTTCGCTCTCTTGCACAGGTGCCCCTGCTCCAGCTGTTTAGACTTTTCTTCATGGGATGAATGTGTCTTTAATTCATTCTTGCTGAATAAACAGGGTGAGTAGCTTCCGTCTTCCCTCCGAAGACAATCTGCAGTGACAGGGAACTGTGCATTAGCTGGGAGAGTGACCTAAATCCTTCTGAGGTCCCTTGCCACGCGGAACACTTGGTGACTCCTAGGTTGACTCTGCCCATTCAATGCAAAGTAGCTGAGTGATGGTGGAGGGAAGCATCTAAAACAGCTGCGCGTGACCGTAACCCTCCTCAGACTCCTCCCCTGAAAGGCGGAAATGGGGAAACTCGGCTTTTCTCAGTACAAAAGAGCTAACCAACGCCCCTCATGACAGCTTCCACCCCACTGCTGCTGGTCACACATGAAAACAAAAAAGTAAATTGCATTTTGAAGCAGACTTTACGGGAACAATCAGGTATTGAATATTTTGCAAAATCTCTGAGTAATTGGCTTGTACTAATGGAGGTAATCTAGTGGAGCTTGGAAACTGCAAATCAAACCAAGAAATAATGTAGGATTAAGAAAGGAGTTAGAGTGCAAACTTGAAAAAAAGTGGTTTTTAATCTGTCTATAGAGCTTTGTCATCAAATAGCAGTAAAAACCTCACTGATATATTGAAAAAAATATGTTTACTATCACTGGAAACCGTTCAACTAGGAATGGCTAAATGCCTGGTGCTCTGTGTTGAGAAGGATTCTGAGGCTGAGTCTGGATCAGAGGGAAAGAATACTGTAGCTGAATAACAGCTGTAATCATAATACTAACTGTATTTTAATTCTCCCTTTATTTTGTGCTGGGTATTATTATCCCTGTTTTATTCATGAACTGAGTGCAGATAGGTTAAATATCTTGGGAGAAATACATGGTGGATCTGAGATTCAAATACTAAATCCCTCTGTAAGACTACTAGCTACTGTGATACTATGGACAAACTACTACTTCTCCATTTTCTCATTTCTGAAAAGCTTTGGCCTGCACTGCCTTCTAAACTCGCTTTCACCTCAGATGGACTTTAGTCTCTGAACAGTCCATTTAAGTACCTCGCACCCCAGCAGTCTTGCCCTCCTCTCAACCCCTGGAATATTTATCATAATTTGACCATTCAGTGCTGTGCTAGGAACTGCACTGCTGAGTATCCTCTTATGTTTTAGATCCTGATTCTCCAAATGCATGGGAAATGCTGTTGAAGAGGGATGATTCCCTGTATCGCCCCCCTCCCCCCAGTAACTAGCATGGTACCTGGCACATGGTAAATGTTTAATAAATGTTGGTTGGTTGGTTTTGTGATATGACCCAGACCACCACACTGTGTCCTAGTTGAATAGGCTGAACCTAGTATTTGCCACAGATGGAGGGGCAAACAGCTGGTTGTTTCCGATTCAGTCCTACCCAGGGATCTAGATTCGTGATCTAGAATTGAAGGTGCTCTCTACCTCACCTTCAGTGCTCCATGCTCCCTGCCCTTCTGACTGTCATGAATGCCTGTTTATCTTCTTGCCTCCATCAACAGCATCTATTTATCTAGCAGTCTGACTTAAGACAGTCCGTGCATATACTCAATGAAGGCTTTCTTTCAGTATTAATTTTCTGTGGAGGGTAAAATGCTGTCTTGTTTTTCCAGTTCTCCTCCTAAGTGTGATGATTTAGATGTTCCTGCTGTTAACTGGCAGCTTTTCCATTTCCTTCTAGCATCCAGGGCCCCAGACTTCTCCACAGAAGCCACTAATGAGCTTCTTGCTTTTCAGGCCCCCGGTTCGTTAATAACACAGAATTTCAGCAACGTCCGATGTTCCAGACCTTATCTTTTCCCTTTCCTTCCACGAGAAAACAAACAAGCAACACAAAGGAAAAGTTTTATTTGCTGCAGTTGCTGACTCAATCCTGTCTGCTTTAAGATCTTAAAACAGAATTTATGCAAAAAGCCCAGATTCTGCTTTGCAGTTAGGCTGAAGGCTTACATATTTGACCCCAACTTTCCAAATGAGTCTGCTTCCCTATTTTTTTTTATTTTATTTTTGTCTCTCTCTCCCCACGTTCAGTCTTCTTCAGTGGTGCTTCATGCTTCTAAGTGTGCTTTTTCCTTCTTCCTAATTAATACTGACTGGGTTCCCAAGTATATGGGGAACAATTCTAGGGACTGTGTGATGGGATGTAGGAAAACGTTCCTGCCCCATCCCTTCTGGGCTTCTGCTCTCTATTATGCCATTCACACTCCCCGCCCGCTGGGCCCTTACACAACTTTGTCTCATTCAGGCAGCGCCAGAGAACATCAATGCCCTTTTGTCCCACTTCCCTTAGAGCCTTGCAGGGGCCCAAAGCAGAACAGAGCTGTCAGCAGCATGAATGCCATTCCTGTCAAACCTGCTGTTCCTCGTGTCCTCTGATGAACCAGCAGCCTTTGCAGCTGTGTCTTCTCAGCATGTTTCTGCAGGTAAGGCCTGACGTCTCTCCTCAAGTCTGGTCTTGGTGCTTGTTAGTGAGGCTGGGCTGAGCAGAGGGCCAGGCCTGTGCCCCTCGGTGGATAACTCAGCTCGTTGGTCAAGTCACCTTCAGGCTCTCACATATTCCACCTTAGCCATGACTATGGTGCCGTTTTGCTGACTTCCTGATGTCTTTTTTTTTTTTTTTGCTTTTATGTCAGGGCTCACAAATTCCTGTACCTCAAAAATATAGAGACCTAGAGATAGTCATACTGACTGAAGTAAGTCAGACACAAAAAGACAAATATCATATGATACTGCTTATATGTGGAACCTAAAACAATGGTAAAAATGAACTTATCTACAAAACAGAGATAGAGTCACAGAGGTAGAAAACAAACTTATGGTTACCCAGGGGGGAAAGAGGGGGAGGGATAAATTGGGAGACTGGGATCGACATATACACACAACTATATACGAAATAGATACCTAATAAGGATCTACTGTATAACACAGGGAACTCTACTCAATACTCCGGAATGACCTATTTGGAAAAAGATCCTTAAAAAGAGTGGATATATGTATAACTGATTCACTTTGCTCTACAGCAGAAACTAACACAACATTGTAAATCAACTATACTCCAATAAAAATTTTAAAAAATACAGAGAGATAATTGCAATATATATATATATTTCTGCATCTTCCAAACATGCATAAGTCCTCATATCCATGTTCACAAGCACATGTTGAGCCTGCGCAGTGCTCTTGCCCAGACATGAAGGATGTTTTATTTTCTCTTTGAAAACTTCTAAATTTCATCTCTTGTGAAATTGTCTTGAGCTACAGACTCAAGTCCAACGTGCGTGAGTCATACAGCTTAGAGAGATCTGTTCCCTGAACCTGTGAGGTAACACCAAGCTTTGCCCAGCCTTCCTGGACATCTCCCCATCTCGTCAACTGTAGGAGTTAGAAGTGATAGCTTTTCCTACCATTACATTAATTATGCAGGGTGGAGGCATCATTTACAAGCTTTCTTTTAAAGGACAGAAAACTAGAGATTACAATTCTTTTATGTTTGGGAGGCACTCAGCGCTGCTCCACCTGCAGTTTACAGATTTTTTTTTTTTTTTTTACCTTCTAAATATTCCATTCCTGAATTTTGGAAACTTGGAAGTTTGAGTTAACTCAGAATTCAGTAATCGGGATTAATCCTTATCTGAGATTTCAGAGAGGGAACTTTTTTTTTCTTATCATTGAAGGGTGTTCAAGAATTGTTCCTTGCCTTCATTTTTCTAAACAGTTATAGGAAGTTCATCCCACTGTGCTGAATACAATAGTCTTCAAGATTTCTCAGCACAAACATACAAATTTCTTACCTGGTACGTATTGTCTAATAATATACTACGGAGAGATGAACACCTTCCCCAAGGCCTCTCCGCTCCTTGAACTTTTGTGAACTCACTTGCTGGGCCCCTGGCGTCTCTAACCCCCATCTCTAACTTGACTTCAGCTGCCTTCTCAACTCATTGTTTAGGATCTCTGGAGCCCTTACTATGTGTCAGACCTATCCTAGGGCCAAAAAGATAACTAGAAATGGCTCTGCTCCAGTTCAACTCAGGTTCTGGGGTAATGTGGGGAAGGAGGGTGTGGGGAGAGGTGACACACGTGCACAGTTAGTTACAATATAATGTGCTTAATTCTCTACGGGGAAAGAAAACAATTTAGTGGGACACCCCCATGAAAGTTCTAACTCCGCTTAGGGGTATCTGTTGGACAAAAAGCTTCATGAAGGACACATGAGTTGGTTTCGAAGAATGGGTAACAGCTCACCACAACCCGGAGAGGAGAGGGGCATTTCAGGTGGGGAAGGTGACAATTCATTGAAAAGCTTATTGGCCGTGAGGGGGCCAGGCCGGTTTGAAGAAGCTAAGAAAACTGATATGGGATGAACAACAAGGTGCTACTGTACAGCACAGGGAAGTATATTCAGTATCCTGGGATAAACCGTAATGGAAAAGAATAAAGAATGTATGTATATGTATAACTGAATCACTTTGCTGTCCAGCAGAAATTAACACAACACTGTAAGTCACCTATACTTCAGTAAAATAAATGTTAAAAGAATAATAAAAATTAAAAAAAAGTTGATATGGTTGGAAGGTAAGCTATATGACTGCAGAGCCTAAAATATGACTAGCTTCCCACTGTCATGTAAATAATGATAGATTATTCTCCTTTACTGAATGTACAGGCACAGCCTGGCGATTGGTAAGAATTGATACACCTCTTGTCCTTGTCACTCTTTTGCTCAGTACCAACCATTTCAAAATAGTTAAGAAGGTCATTATTCTAGATGCAGAAGTAGAGAATGGACTTGAGGACACAGAGAAGGGGAAGGGTGGTGAGCTGGGACGAAGTGAGAGAGTGGCATGGACATATATACACTACCAAATGTAAAATAGACAGCTAGTGGGAAGCATTGCGCAGGGAGATCAGCTCGGTGCTTTGTGACCACCTAGAGGGGTGGGATAGGGAGGGTGGGGGGGAGATGCAAGAGGGGGGGGATAGGGGGATGTATGTATACATACAGCTGATTCACTTTGTTATACAGCAGAAACTAACACAACATTGTAAAGCAATTATACTCCAATAAAGATGTTAAAAAAAAAAAAAAAAGAATGTCAGTTAACCAAGGCTCCCCTTCTCAAACGTGGACTCTGGCTAACCTCCTCCTTGAGGTTTTTATCCTGATGTAGATAACCCTGGGCCTTTCTCTGACTCGTCTTCAGTGGCTGAGGGATCAGATTGTCAGCATTTCCCCTATTTGTATCAGCTCCTTGCCTCACCGTCAGGAATTACTATCTGCTAGCTTCCAGATACAGTTGGTTGTGTGTCCGTTTTGAATACCAATTTAGAGATTCATAATTTATTTTACTTCCGAAAAGAAAAGGTACTTTTTAGCAAAAACTGACCATTCATCCATATTTCCCCGTTTCCTTGAAGATTACACTTTTACAAGTCACCTAACCAGTCGTTGAAGGAGTGACCATGAGAGGCCAGGGCCTGGGAGAGAAGCCTCACGTGGCCTTTAAGGCCACCTGGCTGCTCTACCTGCTAAGGCATAGGGTCTTAATAGGGAAGGGGGCACTGACAATCGCTCAGCAAAATCACATCCCTTCCCCTGGCAACACAGAGACTAAAGATTCAGTTTGCCCATTTTGTTTTGTATTTATCCCATGCCCGACATTTCAAAAAGTACATGAGTATTGCTGGGGTATATAATGTGTTAGCGGAATTACAATCAGAGAGAAGGGGAGGTGAAAAACAAAGGGAGAGAAGATGGGAAAGAAGGACAATGAAAGAGGGGTGGAGGGTGAGGTGAGGTCAGAGTTCTCTCGGGGTCTAGACACAGGTGCCATGGGATTTCATATTAAATATCTGTGGCTGGGAGAAGACAGACGATCTAGAGGGGAAAAGCCAGGGAGGACTGGAGTAGGAATCCTTTCTGCTGAAAGCAGGGTGCAGCACTTGTGCAAATTTCCCCTGGGATTGTAGCCTTGTCTTTCATGAACTTCTCACTCCTGTTATTTCCAGTTCTGGACCATCTGATCAGAGAATACTGGAATTTCCAGCTCTCTAGGCACTAATTTCAGGGGCTAAAACAGCAACCCCTCTGCAGCTCCTACCACAGCCATCGCTGCCCTGCTGGGCTGTGAGGCTATGCCAGCCCAGGCACTCTTGCCCAGGAAATGGAAGGTGGCATTTAAGTGGCACTTAAGATGTTCTTAACCAATCCTAAAGACTCTGAATGAGGCCAATTCTAAATTAAGCTTTCTTGGGTAAATGAATAAGGACTCAAGAAACCTCAGACTGGGAAAAAAAAAAAAAAAAAGATACGAGAAGCCGTACCTCCAAATATATTCCTGTTAAACCCCAGTTTTGACAGGTATTAATATGATTCAATGTTTCTATGACTTATTTTTGTGCTCTAGGTATTTTCAGTGTTAAGGTTTTAAAATATACCTCAATCAAATCCCAATATTTAAAATACACAAATGATGATATCACAGAAATGGAAGAGATCCTTTTTTTTAAACTTACAAGGAAACTGAGGTTCAGGAAACACAAGTGCCTGATCAGAGTCTCACAGCTGACAAAGGAGAATGAAAAACCAAACCTCCTGGTCTAGAATAAAATGTGCTTTTCTTTATAAAAATCATATTGAATCTGTTTTCTGGGATATATAACAGAAGGATCGAAAAATGAGTTTATTTTTGTATCATAGTATATTTTAAGTGCTTCATAAAGTAATTTTGGAGTGGCTACTTGCAGTCTTTTATACTGTTCATTTAAAGGTGAATTGCTTGGTATTGCCCAGTGATCTTACCCAGGATCAGTGCTTTGAAAGAAAGCTCGTAGAAGTCTATGGCTTCAATGCTCTGTCTTGACCTCAGAGCAATTGCCTTCCCTGAACAAAATGCACACGTAGGGATTCCAGTGCCTGCTGTTCTGGAAACGGTCAATGTTTACCTCAGGATTCATCCCCAGATTTCCACCATGTACTCTGAGCCTCGGCACTGGGTCGCTGCACTGAAGCCCTGCACTGAAGCCAACTGGCATTTAAACCACCAGACTGAAAGCTTGTGCACCATGGGCCATAGCCAGGCTTTCAAATGTGACTCAAGTGTGGTTAGAAACCTGTCTGTGTGGGGTATTGGAAAGAATGCTTGTCTGGGTTGGGCACACTAAATTTAAGTCCCAGCTCAGCCTCCCATCAGGTGGTCCAGAATAAATCCTGTAAGCTCCCCGAGCATTTGCCGCTTATCTATATGGTACCTCTGTTTTGCTTACATAGGGAGCTGTTCCAACCAGCAAATGAGGCAGCATAAGAGTATCTGTAAACTGATGGGTTAAAAATATGTAGATTACTCTCCATGTTGATAATTCCTAATATATAGATGGTATCAAAACAGTTAAGCCTTTGTTGGACTATATGTGGTCATGTGTCTCCTAATAGGTCTTGTATGCTAAAATACACAGCTAAGAATTAAAGCCAAAGTCTGTTGACACACATGATGATGCAGAGGAGGATATTCTGCTTTGTTTTCTGCCTTTCAGATTAAATATATACTCAGTGTTGTGCATTGACATAACAAACCGGGGGAAATGTGCCAATTACCTGTGGGTTCTTGGGATGTATTCACATTCTGTACATTATTATTTCAAAAAGTCTTTTCCTGGGGTTTGCCTGATGGCGCAATGGTTAAGAATCTGCCTGCCAATGCAGGGGATACAGATTCGAACCCTGGTCCGGGAAGATCCCATATGCCGCAGAGCAACTAAGCCCGTGCGCCACAACTGCTGAATCTGCGCTCTAGAGCCCATGTGCCAAAGAGCCCATGCTCCACAACAAGAGAAGCCACTGCAATGAGAAGCCCGTGCACTGCAACAAAGAGTAGCCCCCGCTCGCCGCAACTAGAGAAAGCCCGCACGCAGCAACGAAGAACCAATGCAGCCAAAAAATAAATAAATAAATAATTAAAAAAAAAAAAGTATTTTCTTTTTGGACCCATTCTCTGTACTAGATCTTCATTTGTAAGCAAGTTCCATAACATTACCTTTCAAAAGTAAAGCTAAAGAAATATTTCCTTCTTCTGGAGTTTTTGTTTTTTTTTTTTCAGTAAATTTGCTCCATTACCTGGTTACTTTCTGTCAAGTGTTATCAATAAATTCATTCATTCATTCAGCTAATACTTATTATAACCTACTGTGTACCACCACTGCTCCGAGGATGGATCAATGAACAAAACACACAAAATTCTTTGCCATCATCGTCATCATATTTTGCCTATATATGATATTTCTAGATATCTCAGTTTATACTATAGAATCTTCCATGCATTCAAGTGACCAAGCTGTGATGGTCAATGCTCTGTCCTACTGGTCTACCTCTTTTTCCATCCTGGAACTCTGGGGTTCTTAGCTCTACTCTGCTTCTTCTCTTCTTTCCCCTAAATCAGCTTTGGACCTTTATTCCAGGTAAAAACTATTAGATAATCCATTTTTGAATGATGGATGCCAAACATGGACAGTTCCAATGTAACTATTTATCTATGAGGATTCATTACGTTCCACTCTGACTGTTGTACTACTGCTTAGCCCCAGAACATGGCTTAAAGTCTTAATCCTCCTACGTCACTTGGCATTTCTGGATAAAGTTTCATAACTTTTGTTAACTTTGTCCATTGTGCATTCAGGTTACCTAACATTAGTTGGACCCTAACTGAGCACAACAAAATCCATGTTCATCTTTGTTGACACCATAATGGTCTCTCCACCATCACTATTTGAAATTTCAGTCTTACCGACATGCACTTCTTTTATTCTTAATCCAACCGTATATTTTCCCTCAGTCAGGGGCCTTAACTTCCACGACTTCTCATCCCCTGTCCAGTCTTGCTGTTCTGCAAACATCTGGCTACACTGCATCTGAAGGAATATTTCTGAACCCCACATCCATTTGTGGCAATCTTCGCTCCTAATGGTTCCTCCTCATTATCATGAACAATTTACTCTTTAGCAGTTCCCCAAGTACCTCATATTGTTTCACTATTGTGAGCCCCTGAACATTCTTGTCCCTCTGCTGAGAATGTCCCCTCTGCCTCATCACTTGAAACCTACTTGGCTTTCAAAATTTTGATTAAACTTTACTACCATCAATGCAGAAGCCCCATGGACTTCTCCCTTACTCCTGAGCCTGATGTGGCTGTCCCTTCTCTATATTCCTATCCAGTCCCATATGTTTCTCTATCATAGCATGTACCTACCAGTCCATACATGTTGATTTATTAGTCTGTATTCCCCCAAAACTGTAACATCCTCGAGCACAAGAACCATATCTATTTACCTTTAGTCCCTGTGTGTATTACAGCCTGGTGCAGGGTATGAGCTCAGTAAATTTGTTAAAAAGATGGTTAATTAGGAAATAGGAAGTATTCCTTCAGAAAATACCCATTGCTCCATTTTGGAACTTCATAGTGTGAGGACTATATTTCCAAAGAACAATGGAAAGAATTATAGGACTGTGAGGAAAGAAAAGCAAAGACATTGGGATTATTTATTATTACTGGGGATATAGAGAGATGATCCTATAGCATCGATGATTATTATTAAATGCTTTTATCATACTGGTATCAAATCTAAACTGTAAACTACATGAGAGTGATACACATCTGTCTTGTCCACATTGATCTCTCCAGCACTTAGCACATGTTAGGCATTAAATAAATATTTGCTGAACTTTGTTGAATGAGCAAAGTAGCAGGCATTCAAGTTAGATGGACCATGTCCTGCTAACACTGACAGAAATTAAAATGTGTTTTTCTAGAAAAATGCTTTGTATTGATATTGGGGAAAGTCTTTCTGTATTATCTTTTAACCCTTTGTGTGTTGCCATCTTTCCTCTCGACCTCTGGGCTGTTGTTGTTTTTAAACTATATTTGTGGTGTTTTTGCTTTATAAAGGCTTTTTAATGTTTATTTTTACATAGTCAAACCTTTCATTCTTTTGAATTACTGTTTCTATGTTTTCACATTATGCTTATGAAGGCTTTCCTCACCCCAGAATTTGGAAAAGATTCCTCTATACTGTATTTTATGGCTTTATTTATCTATGTTAAGATCTTTAATCCATATGGAACTGATATTTGCATACAATGTATTTTGATTTAATGATTAGTGTACATACCCTGTTGTATATTACAATCTTTTTACCTTTATACTTTTCAATTTTGCCCTGGTTTAATTCTAAAGGACAGGGGATAGCTATTCAAATTATCTTATTCATAAAATCATCCCAGGGTAGTGAGTCTTTCAACTGGCCTCCTGCATTCAGCATCTCTCCATTGGCCTCCTGTGATAGATTTCCTGTTGGTCTTCTCACAACCTTCTCTGCCCCACTTCCTTCTCTACCCAGCAGTCACTGGGATATTTTTTAAACACTAGAATGAAATCTCTATACCACAAGATATTTGTATCTATTTTGTTTACTGCTGTATCTCCAATGCCTAGAACAGAGACTGACACATAGTAGGCGCTTAATGAATACATACTGATGCAAACATAACTATCAATAGAATCATGCTGCTTCCCTGCTTAAAACTCAAGCGCTTCCCATTTCTATCATAAAATTCAAACTCCTCTCAGTATGGACACACTGAGTTCTTCTCTTCCTCAAGACCCCACGCTGTTCCTACTTCAAGAACCTTCTTTTCTACTAGACAGCTGCTTGAATGTGACTGCCTCAGGGGACGCTTTCCTGACTCCACTATTGAGAGTACAGATACCTTAAGTTTCTTTACTTGTTTCTAACTCACATAGCTTTGTGACTCATAATCTTTTATAACTCTATTTGCTTTATTTTTAAATTTTTTAAATTTTATTTATTTATTTTTTTGCGGTATGCGGGCCTCTCACTGTTGTGGCCTCTCCCGTTGCAGAGCACAGGCTCTGGACGCGCAGGCTCAGCGGCCATGGCTCACGGGCCCAGCCGCTCCGCGGCATGTGGATCTTCCCGGACCGGGGCACGAACCCGTGTCCCCTGCATCGGCAGGCAGGCTCTCAACCACTGCGCCACCAGGAAAGCCCTATTTGCTTTATTTTTATTTTCTTTCTCCTGGACCAGAATGTAAGCTCTATGAGAGTCTGCATGTTGTCTAGGTTTTTTCCTGATGTGACTCGAGTACCCAACATAATGCCTGGGGCTCGGTAGGCACCCAATAAATATCTGCTAAAAATTTTTTTTAAAGACATTTTTATGGCAACCATTATAATGCCAGTGTTGAGGTTCCAGCTAATTAGCTGGAAATTAACAATTTAAAGGAAGTAACTCATTGGTTAACAAGATATCATGATAAACAATAAGAACCTACTGTATAGTACAGGGAACTATATTCAATATCTTGTAATAACCCATAATGTAAAAGAATCTGAAAAAGGATAGATATATATGTATAACTGAATCACTTTGCTATACACCTGAAACTAACACAACATTGTAGATCAAGTATACTTCAGTTTAACAAAAAATAATAAAAGAAAAAATAAAATAAATCCTCTCCACCTGAAAAAACTCTCTATAAAAATTTCTTCATCCATAAAAAAAAAAAACTATCATGAGATCGTGACATTATTAATGTCTTCAATATTCAAAGTACTTAAGTATCAATAGACGAATTTATACAAAGAGGCATAATTGGAAAAACAATAAAGAACACTTGTGCACTAACACATAATTATATCAAAGTTATAGAAAGTGAGTAGTAAAGACATAGCACAAACAGGGTATTAGAGGCATCACATAATTAAAGATGGAATGTTAGAGATTGTGTGATCTCTTTGGAAGGACAGAAGAAAGGAAAGGACAGAAAAAACCCACACTATCATAGAAACTGAAAAAAATAAAGAAAATGAATATCATTGGTAATGAGGTTATAAAAAGTTGATGTCACCACCCTCAAAATCCATAAGTATCACTGAAGTATACGCTGGTACTAAGAATAGCATTAGGGATGTTGGGATACTAAAAGGTCCAGCTGAAGGTGTGAAGTGAAAACCTCTTGACAACTGAGAAAAAGGAAACAATTATGAAAAAACAAAACTGTTTAAACACTAGATTGAACATGATTTTAAAAGATAAAAAATAATATAAAAGAGGAGGGACTTCCCTGGTGGTCCAGTGGTTAAGAATCTGCTTTCCAATGCAGGGGATGTGTGTTCGATCCCTGGTCGGGGAGCTAAGATCCCACATGCTGCGGGGCAACGAAGCCCATGCGCCACAACTACTGAGCCCGAGCACCACAACTAGAGAGCCTTGGTGCTGCAACTAGAGAGAAGCCCACATGCCGCAAAGAGCCTGCATCCTGCAACAAAATATCCTGCATGCCGCAACTAAGACCCAATGCAGACAAATAAATAAATAAATATTAAAAAAATAATAGAGGAGAGTTGGAGAAATAAAAAAAGCAAAATAAGAGGATAGAAGAATATGAAAAATAATAGAAAATAAAAAATATGCAAAAGCAGGGAAGAAATCTGGTAAAAAATCATGCAAAATTATAACTATCTTGGAAATTGAAAATAATAATGCGTTATAAAGAACACAATAGACAAATCATATAAAGTCATGATGATCGACTGGTGGCAATGTTTCCTTTTCTGCTGGTATGTGTCAGCCTTCAATATCTTTAAAAGGCTGTTTTCTTGACCCAAATTGAAAATCATCATACCAGCCTAGAAAAATAAAAATAAATGTCTTCTTTTTCTAGAAAGGGCT